GGTGAACAACGAGAAGAAATTAGCGACTCACTCCTGATTTAGTCAGACACTTTGACCCTGACAGTATGAACACTGGTCACCCCCAGTGTTTGCTGGGTTGCAAATTGCTTCCTGATTTTACCACTCTTCGATAAACTAGAACATCTTTGTGTTTGGGACAGGCCATTTCCTTGTGCATCCCGCTGAGGAATCTCCTGTTATGTTTTAAGTTACATTGGTTATTGTTGTATATTACCCAAACACAGTTGTTCATAAGGACACAGTGTAGGTGAGCTATCAGAGGGGTAGCTGGGTTATTCTGGATCTGCAAAAGTGACAAGGAGTCCTGTGGCACCTTAGACTAACAGATGTAGAGTCTATAAGGTGCCAACCACATGGCCTATTTATCCCTCCTTCCTCGTCTCCTCTTGGCTACAGCAGGTTTGCTGGTAGCCCTTAGGTATGAGTCACCACTCATTCTTTAGGTGTGTCCTTGGCCCATTGAGTGCCATTGTCCCACAGGGCCTCACTGATTAGCATGTCCATAGGCCGGGCTCTGCCCACTGCTCAACCACATGCAGAGAAATATTCAGTATCTACACAGATTAGACTCCTAACTACACACACAGACATTATACAATCACGTGACTAGCGTACATAGGATTAGCAGACAGTAAGCTTCTATTCAATGCCCCACATGGCCCCCTTTTATACCATTTTTGGGGCCCACACCCCCACCTATGGGTGCATCAGTGATCTGGCTGCTCCCCTCAAAATCCAGTAACGTGACAACTTGTACCATTGGTTGAGAAACATTGGTCTAGATAGTACCAAGTCCTGCCGTGAGGACAGGTAACCTGCTGTTAGGGTTAGGGACTCAATGGCCTCTCAAGATCCCTTCCAGTTCTAGTATTCTAGGATTCTATGGTGGGGGCTAATTTGGCTACGACAAATCAGGAAAGAGATCTTGGAGTCATCGTGGACAGTTCTCTGAAAACATCCACTCAGTGCGCAGTGGCAGTCAAAAAAGCAAATAGAATGTTAGGAATCATTAAAAAAGGGATAGAGAATAAGACAGAAAACATCTTATTGCCTCTGTATAAAACCCTGGTATGCCCCCATCTTGAATACTGCATGCAGATGTGGTCACCTCATCTCAAAAAAGATTATATTGGCATTGGAAAAGTTTTGGAAAAGGGCAACAAAAATGATTAGCGGTTTGGAATGGGTCCCATATGAAGAGAGAGTAAAACAACTTGGACTTTTTGGCTTAGAAAAGAGGAGACCGGGGGGAGGGGGAGAGGAGACATGGTAGAAGTCTATAATATCATGAATGGTGTGGAAAAAAGTGAATAAGGAAAAGTTATTTACTTATTCCCACAATATAAGAACTAGGAGTCACCAAATGAAATTAATAGGCAGCAGGTTTAAAACAAACAAAAGGAAGTTTTTCTTCATACAGCACATGGTCAGCCTGTGGAACTCCTTGCCAGAGGAGGATGTTAAGACCAGGACTTTAACAGGGTTTAAGAAAGAACTAGATAAATTCATGGAGGTTAGGTCCAACAATGGCTATTGGCCAGGGTGGGTAGAAATGGTGTCCCTAGCTTCTGCCAGAGGCTGGGAATAGGTGACAGGAGAGTGATTGCTTGATGATTCCCTGTTCTGTTCGCGCCCTCTGGGGCATATGGCATTGGATACTGGGCTGGATAGTCCTTTGGTCTGACCCAGTATGGCTGTTCTTATGCATGTTTAGGTGTTAATAGTGTTTGAAGGCCTCTTGCCCACATTTTGTTTGCAGTGGCTCAAGAGTAATTCATTGATGTCAAAAGCTTCAGAGAGATGGGCATGTTAGTCTGTAATTGGAAAAACTTAAACAGTGAACAGTTTAGCAGCACCTTAAAGACAACAAAACATGTAGATGGTATGAGCTTTCATGGGCATAACCCACTTCTTCAGATGAATGGAATATTAAATGTCCAGTTCCAAAATAAATAGGAGATGGGGGAGGAGGAAGTCAATTAGGGTATGTCTACACTACCCCACTAGTTCGAACTAGCGGGGGTAATGTAGTCATCCGCAGTTGCAAATGAAGCCCGGGATTTGAATTTCCTGGGCTTCATTTGAATGAAGCCGGCCAGCGCCATTTTTAAATGCCGGCTAGTTCAGACCCCGTGCCGCGCGGCTACACGCGGCATGGACTAGCTAGTTCGGATTAGGCTTCCGAACTAGCTAGTCCGTGCCGCATGTAGCCGCGCGGCACGGGGTCCGAACTAGCCAGCATTTAAAAATGGCGCCGGCCGGCTTCATGCAAATGAAGCCCTGGAAATTCAAATCCCGGGCTTCATTTGCAACGCCGTATGACTACATTACCCCCCCTAGTTTGAACTAGGGGGGTAGTGTAAACATACCCTCTGTCTGGAAGACAAGTCACTCAGATGTTAACATAGTTCGAACTACAGGGCATTTAAAAATGGCAGCGCCTGGGAACATGCAAATAAAGTCCGGGATATTCAAATCCCGGGCTTCATTTGCAACTGCGGATGACTACATTACCCCCGCTAGTTCGAACTAGTGGGGTAGTGTAGACATACCCTCCAAGTGTTCGTGCTACAAGAAGCGGGTAGAGAAAGTGCAAATTGTTCTTAGTACCCATTGTTTGTTTTTTTTAAAGTCAATAGGATGTGGAAGGAAGTGTGCTAGACATGTCTTTATTCATACCTTTGTGATGGGTCCCTAGCCTGTAAATGAAGTTAAGGTCTAAAGCTTCCCTGTGTATTTGGCTTGTGGAATTGGCCTGAAACAACATGGTGACTTTGAGATCCATTAATGAGTGCCCAGGCAGGTTAAAGTGTTCTCCAACAGATTTTTGTGTGTTGCCTTTTCAGATATCTGATTTGTGTCCATTAATTCTTTCCCGTAGAGACTGTGCTGTTTGGCCTATATACGATATAGAATCATAGGACTGGAAGGGACCTCGAGAGGTCATCGAGTCCAGCCCCCCGCCCTCAAGGCAGGATCAAGCTCTGTCTACACCATCCCTGACAGATGTCTATCTAACCTGTTCTTAAATATCTCCAGAGAGGGAGATTCCACCACCTCCCTTGGCAATTTATTCCAATATTTGACCACCCTGACAGTTAGGAATTTTTTCCTAATGTCCAATCTAAACCTCCCCTGCTGCACTTTAAGCCCATTACTCCTTGTCCTGTCCTCAGAAACCAAGAGGAACAAATTTTCTCCTTCCTCCTTGTGACACCCTTTTAGATATTTGAAAACCGCTATCATGTCCCCCCTTAATCTTCTTTTTTCCAAACTAAACAAGCCCAGTTCATGAAGCCTGGCTTCATAGGTCATGTTCTCTAGACCTTTAATCATTCTTGTTGCTCTTCTCTGTACCCTTTCCAATTTCTCCACATCTTTCTTGAAATGTGGCGCCCAGAACTGGACACAGTACTCCAGCTGAGGCCTAACTAGTGCAGAGTAGAGCGGCAGAATGACTTCACGAGTTTTGCTTACAACACACCTGTTGATACAACCTAGAATCATATTTGCTTTTTTTGCAACAGCATCACACTGTTGACTCATATTCAACTTGTGGTCCACTATGACCCCTAGATCCCTTTCTGCCATGCTCCTTCCTAGACAGTCGCTTCCCATCTTGTATGTATGGAACTGATTGTTCCTTCCTAAGTGGAGCACTTTGCATTTCTCTTTATTAAACCTCATCCTGTTTACCTCTGACCATTTCTCTAACTTGCTAAGGTCATTTTGAATTATGTCCCTATCCTCCAAAGAAGTTGCAACCCCACCCAGTTTGGTATCATCTGCAAACTTAATAAGCGTACTCTCTATCCCAATATCTACATCATTGATGAAGATATTGAATAGTACGGGTCCCAAAACAGACCCTTGCGGAACTCCACTTGTTATCCCTTTCCAGCAGGATTTAGCACCGTTAACAACAACTCTCTGACTACGGTTATCCAGCCAATTATGCACCCACCTTATCGTGGCCCTATCTAAGTTATATTTGCCTAGTTTATCAATAAGAATATCATGCGAGACCGTATCAAATGCCTTACTAAAGTCTAGGTATATGACATCCACCGCTTCTCCCTTATCCACAAGGCTCGTTATCCTATCAAAGAAAGCTATCTGATTAGTTTGGCATGACTTGTTCTTCATAAACCCATGCTGGCTATTCCCTATCACTTTATTACCTTCCAAGTGTTTGCATATGATTTCCTTAATTACCTGCTCCATTATCTTCCCTGGGACAGACGTTAAACTGACCGGTCTGTAGTTTCCTGGGTTGTTCTTATTCCCCTTTTTATAGATGGGCACAATATTTGCCCTTTTCCAGTCTTCTGGAATCTCCCCTGTCTGCCATGATTTTTCAAAGATCATAGCTAAAGGCTCAGATACCTCCTCTATCAGCTCCTTGAGTATCCTGGGATGCATTTCATCAGGACCTGGTGACTATTTGATGGCATAGATCACATTAGTGGATGTGCAGTTAAACGAGTCTCTGTTGTTGTGACTGATGTGGTTGGGTCCAGTGATGAAATTGCTTGTATAGATGTGTGGATAGAGTTGGCACTGGGGCTGATTGCAGGGGTGGGTTCCTGAATGATTATGATGGAGTTTTGCTGTGAGGTTAGGGGGTTGTCTGTAAGCAAGGATTGGCCTTTCCCCAAAGACCTGTGATGGTGAGGGGTCATTTTCCTGGATAGGTTATAGATTGTTGATAAAATGTTGGAGGGGTTTAAGTTGTAGGCTGTAGGTGATGACAAGTGGAATTCTGTTGTTTTCTCTTCTTGGCCTGTCTTAGAAGTAGTTCATGTCTGGGTACTCTTCTTCACTGAAGTCAGTGTACCTCTATATGCTTTGAGTCCTGGCTATTCAAGAAACACCGTTCTCAGTGCAGTAATGGAGGTTCTGCAGCTCCGAAATTCACTTCTGTCCTCTGGTCCAGTAAATTCTGCTATAAAGTCCATTTATTGATTCATGCCTTTACCCAAAGCTTGGGTAGTCCTCTTCTAGAGAAGGAAAATTGTTTATCTTGTATTACTTTAACTATGTCCCTAGATCCTGTGGTGGGAGTTATGTTAACCACACTAAAATGTTTCCTTTTGCAGGAGAGAGCTCAGAGTAAGAAGCAAGAAGAGCAGCTGGAACGTCTGCGGAAAGACATGGACTCTGTGGCTATGGAGAGCAGCTCGCTTACAGGTAATGAAAGGGCTTTGAATGCTGGAGTGATTTAAACTTAGAGTCTTCATAGAGTTTGCCTTAAAGTCTCTTGAGCTTTTTTTCTCTGCCATACAAATATAAAAGCAACTTAGTCCCAGAGAAGGGCCCTGACCATTGTCCTGTGGGGATGGGCAAGAGTCTCATCTTTTATGATTAAGCCATAGTGAGGAAAAGATGAAACTCTGGTGCCTAACATAGGGGAGTGGGCATGCTAGAAATAGATTCAGCTGATGATAAAACTTTCTAGGGAGGGTGACATAGCAGGTAATTGTGGATGAATTAAGCAATATGAGGGAGGCTGTAATCTGGGGTGGTTCTTAGAGTCCTTTTTCACTTTGATTCCAATCAGGTGTATGCACACCTCGTACATGAGCATTGGAAACTTTTCCCCTACCAGCTCCCATAGGGTCGGCCACGGAGACCCCCTAGAGCGGCGCCGCTATATTAGCGCATATATACCACTGCCTTCCCTGCCCTCCCTCAGTTTCTTCTTACCATCTGTGACAGCATTGGAACTTCCTAGCTGTGGCAAGTGTCTAGTCCCTAGCCTATAGCTCTCTTTGTCATCTCTTCGACTAACAGGTTTTCAGTGTTAGCAGCAGCGAGCAAGTGCCCAAGAACTGTAGCCCTCAGGGCACCGGGGCATGACTTTAAATAGTGTGCAGCGTGTAAGCATTACATGCCCAACAGCGATCCATGCAACGTGTGCCTTTGCTGCTTGGATGATGAATACCGCACTGAAAAGTACAAGATCTGCAGGAGTTTTAAGCCCCAGAAAGGACCAGGAGTACAGCAGCTCCTTAAGAAAGCGGCACTAAAACCCCCTCAGACTGAGAAGTTGGCACCTGAAGCCAGCTCGGTGCTCAGTGCTCTGGCCTCCATGCGCAGTAGCGCACCAACATTGAGCTTGGCCCCTGGCGCCAAAGACTGCGGTGTCGAGGCATAAATCCTCCTCACCAGCAGGAGGGAAGACAGGTAGATTTCTTCATGAGTCCCAGCCGAGAAAGGATCAAATGTGTTGGGAGTTTCCAGCACAAGAGGTCCAAGATGTGCTGTCGATTCCGGGACTGACGCTTTTGAGTCCAGCATGTGGCCTGTTACTGAGAGACATAAGTCTGATGTCTATGAGGCAGCCCAAGACCTCATTGAAATTTTAGAGGCTGAGCCATCCAGAGGCTGAGATACTGCACTGCTCGAGGGGGAAGCGAGCGATGCTGCGTTGACCACAGTCTGTAGAATGGCACCAGAACAGGTCATCCTCTGAGGGATCACTTCTGCTGGCACAGCACCCATCACCACTGGTGCTGACTGAGGGCATGGCACCAAGCTCCAGGTTAGCACAAGGAGAACGGCGCTGAGATCAGTCTGATGTAGGTCGAGGCCCAGAAGCACTTGGCATCATTCTGGGTCCAGACTATCCAGGTACCACTCAAGATCCCCAAGGAGGTCTCAACATGTGGCACCAACACCAACTTCATCGGCACCTCCGTGGTCATCGCAGTCTGAGTCCGAATCTGATGTTGTGTTGACCCATTGGGGACCCCCCCCCAGCACCCTGGCAGCAACAGAGGCCTCCACCTCTGTCAGCACTGGCCTTTTTGGGCAGCCTGAGCATAACATCTGTTCCAGGGTGCGCCTCAGTTGATGGCATTGATGAGTCTCAGGTCCAGATCCCCTCAGGTTAGGCAACATTCGAAGGCAGCGTCAGCAATGGAATCCCATCCACAGAGATGTGACAGCCCACTGCCTGAACCCCATGATCAGCCTCCCAGGTCAGGGCATCAGACGTGACCAGACAAGGGACCCTGGGCCCAACAACCCCTGGAGCCTTTGGGGGATACTTTGCCTGCTCACGCATATTCCGCCTCGTCCCCAGATGAAGGAGTGGTGGGCGCACATCCATGTCCCCCTCTGTTCAACTATAGGGCTTATCAGGAACTATTATACTGGGTTGCCCAGAACATGAATCTCCCTATAGAAGAGATATGCGAGCCCGAGGACCTCATGGATTCGGCTCTCAATGAGGAGGAGAGGCAAGGTCAGCAGGCCCCAGCCCTGAAGAGATCTGTGTTAGATCAAAAGCTTGTCTCCAGTTGAAGATTGCTAATCAACAAGCCAGGACCTGCCGGGGCCACAGAATATATTGAGGGATGCCCTCAGCAGGATCTTCATGGTTCCCGAGTGGTCTGTCAGGGAAGATGTGATCAGTTTTCCACAGGTGGGGGACTCCCCACCTAGACCTGTTTGCCACTCCAGAGAACAAAAAGTGCAGGGACTTTTGTTCATTCCAGAATCACTATCAGGGTTCCATGGGCAATAGAAACCTCTCTACCAGGGTGGCATATTTGGCCAGCTGGAATAGGTTTTCAACCTGGTGTGCGAAGTGAAACGTTTCCCCTAGGTGGGTGCCTGTTCCTGTGGTGTTAATTATCCGTTCCACTTATGGACCCAGGGCCTAGCTCCCTCTTTGGTGAAGATACACCTGCTATCTGCCTGCCTTTCACCTACTTGCTCCTAGTGTTCAGGCACTCCATAGTGACTTGCTTTAGGAAGGGGTGGACAGTTAATTCTATCCATCTTATCATTCACCTGTACCTACTCGGGATATAAACTTGGTGCTTAATAAACTTATGGGGCCACCCCTTGAACCAGTGGCTGAGTGTTCACTGCTTCATCTTTCCATAAAAGTGGCCTTCCTGGTGGCCATCACCGCGGCAGGGAGTGAGTTGAGAGCTCTCTCCTCAGAACCCTTATACGCGATCTCCCACAGGGATAAAGTGCAGCTCAGGCAACATTTGTCCTTCCTACCAAAGGTGGTCTCCCAATTCCATCTAGGCCAGGAGATCTTTCTCCCAGTCTTTTATCCCAAACAGCACTCTAGTGCTAAGAAAAGAGCATTGCATATGCTAGATGTATGGAGAGCCCTGGCTTTCTACATAATTCATAGACTCATAGAACACTAGAACTGGAAGGGACCTTGAGAGGTCATCGAGTCCAGTCACCTGCCCTTATGGCAGGACCCATCCCTGATAGATATCTGTCTAACCTGCTCTTAAATATCTCCAGAGAATGGTACTAAGCCATTCTGAAAGTCCATGCAGCTATTTGTGATGATAGCGGAGCAAATGAGGGTGAACCTCTCTGGACAGTGCATAGTCATGGATAGTACAGTGCATACGCACCTGTTATGACCTAGCAGGAGCCCCACCTCCACCGGTCACAGGCTCTCAACTACACCTCATCGACTGTCTTTGTGGCACAAGTTCCGCTACAGGACATTTGTAGGGCGGTTACATGGTTCTCTGTTTATACGTTCACAGCCCACTATGCTATCAGTACATTTTCCAGGAAGGATGCAGCTGTTGGTAGGGCAGTGCTCCAGTCAGTGTTTCCTAACTCTGACTCCACCTCCATGGGGTAGCAGCTTGGGAGTCACCTGATTGCTTTTGATTGTTCTTATGATTAGAATCAACATGAACAAGCACTTGAAAAAGAAAAGACAATTACCTGTTCTTGTAACTGGTGTTGTTCGAGATGGGGTGTTCACATCCATTCCAATACTCACCCTCCTTCCCCAATGTCAGAGGAGCTGGCAAGAAGGATCCAAGGGAGGGTAGGGTCAGCTGTAATATATATGCGCTAATATAGCGGTGCCACTGGGGTCTCCATAGCTGACCCTATGGGAGCTACTAGGGGAAAAATTTCTGATGCTTGTGCACATGACATGCATACACACCTGATTGGAATGGATATGAACAACACATCTCGAAGAACACCAGTTATGAGAACAGGTAAATGTCTTTTTTACAGGGAACCTGTTGCTTTATAGCATCACACGTTCTAGAGCATCTATTTGTATCTATGGGAGTCATGGGTGTGTACTTGTAGGGTAGGTACCAATAGCTGTGGTTGCTGTGTGGCAGGTGCTTACATTGGGAAATATCAGTGAATTAGGTTCTTGTCAGTATGAGACTTTTTGTCCTTAGAAGCTTCTATTTCTGATTAGGTGCTTCTGAGACTTCTGCATTGGGCCCCTCTGACTTGATCATGACACGAGGAACTGTAGATGAGGAAGATGAAGAGAGAGAGAGTGATACTGATGATATTGACCATCAAGGTAAGGGAAAACAAGACTGCCTGTGGCTTGGAATTACACAATACACCCCTGGAGAAGGGAGATCAGAGGTTAATTGCATGGCTAATATGGTGAGTGAGAGCTGATTCAGGGTTGAAAGGCAAATGAGGTGGTAGGCCAAGTATCAGACAGGTCATCAGTATAGTCATTGAAGACACTGAGGGTGAGTTTGGGAAATTGTGAAGCGAGGAAGAGTGAGAGTTATGAATCCAAAATTGGAAAGGAAGGTGAATGGGTTAGTGTCAGGGAGAGGCAGGTAAATGTAGTTTGGAACAGGAAGGGGGAGTGAGATGGAGTCTGTCTTTAAAAGAATGGGGTGAAGGAGAGGTTGAAAAGGACAAGTGCAGAAGCAGAACTTGTGCCCAACATGTGTGACTGCTCAGGGCGACTGCACCTTTGTTTCCCTTCAGTGGTCCTGCAAAGACCTGTAATTCTCAGGCTTCCAGCTCTCCAGCAAGGTTCCCTGTAAGCTGCACACTCTTGCAGCAATTTTCTGAGCTCTGCTCAGAAGTTCAAAGCTCCTGTGCAGGCAGAGATCTCAGCTGATTAGCAGTGGGGAGGGCCATCTCACTGAGCAAGCAGTTAAACTGAACTAGCTGCTTGCTTGAACTGAGGGGCTCTGGAGCCCGTAAAAAGGGAGATGAGACAATTAGTTGCTGGAGATATGCAGAGGGAGTGAGCGAGTTAGTTAGCAAGTAACTGGCTGATGAGTCAGAGGGGAGCCATTTTCAAATGAGTTTGTTAATAAAAAGTCATATCACACCAGAATATCAAAACATTTCTTTTCGAAAATATTGAAATGAAAGGCTTAAGAGTTTTGGCATTTAATGTTTTTTTTACCTAAGCAATTTGATGAAATCTACAAAAATTTGCAAAAAATTTTGATGCCATTTATGTCAGTTTCATGCAAAACATTCACATTTGTACTTCATATGAATATGTTGATTAGAATGTATGAGATTTTATTAATTTCCTTAACTTGATGCTTATCTGTTTCTGTTCATTCCCTCTGGGGCATCTGGCATTGGCCACTGTTGGAAGCTAGGATACTGGGCTACATGGATCTTTGGTCTGACCCAATATGGCTGTTCTTATGTTCTAAGGCAGTGTTTCCCAATTTTTTTGACCAATTTTTCAAACTCAGAAAAATTTCAAGGAACCCCCTAGCCAGGGATTAAGTTTGTCGAGCAAAAAGAAACCACACCCAAACACACACAGACTGCCAGTACACCACAATTGGTAGTAATAAGATGCTAAATACGGTCATAAAATCACCATTCATTTATATTCAACAAAAATCATATTAAATATGTACAACAAAATAAAACTATCAAATAATATTAATTATATTCATAGTTTTCAATGCGAAGAATGGTTTTTCTTCTTTTCTTGGCAAATTCTTTTTATATTTGGTTTAATACTAGAAAGTTGGATTCGCATATCTGGCGCAGCATTCAGTCGATTTCTGTATTTCGTTTTCATTGCTGCATAGTTCGAGAACCCAGTTTCGCACAAGTATGTACTGGCAAAGGGTAACAGCTGACTAATTGCGCGTCTTGATAAAGATGAATATTCTTGACTTTGACATAAGTCACTCCAAAATGTAATCAGAGAAACTTCTTTAAATTTTTGTATTAATTGGCCATCTGAAGCGATTTCAATTAGGTTTTCATAATCTTGTGTAGAAAAACTGACTGGCTTTTCTGTTAAACTTAATGGATTTCGAATCCAGTTATTGTTGTCATTGATGTTTGGAAAATACTTAATGATGTTCATGTATAAATCGCAGAGATGATCTGCAATGTC